CAGGAGCCGGCGGTGCGGCGCACGCCCGGCGGAGGAGGTCTGGGCGGGCGGCGCCGGAGGAGCCGACGGAGCGACGAGCTGCAGGCCAAGGTCGACGTCATTATCACTCCAGAAACTCAGTATCGTCGTCCTCCCTCGCTCCTCCTTGCTCACCCTCCTCCTCCTTGCTCCTCCTTGCTCCTCCTTGCTCCTCCTTGCTCCTCCTTGCTCCTCCTCCACTTTCTCCACCTCCGCCTCCGCCTCCGCCGCCACCTCCTCCTCCTCCTCCTCCTCCTCATCCTCATCCTCCACCTCTTCCTCCTCATCCTCCTGCTCCGCCTTCTCCTCCTCCTCCTCCTCCTCCTCCTCCTCCTCCTCCTCCTCATCATCATCATCATCATCATCATCATCATCATCATCATCATCAGCAGCAGCATCGTCATTATGGTCATTCCCTGGTTCAGCATCCTGATTACCATCATCAACAGCAGCATCATCATCAGCATCATCATCGACATCATTATCATCATCATCATTATCATCATCATCAGCATCATCATCATCATCAGCATCATCATCATCATCATCATCATCCTCATCATCATCATCATCAGCATCAGCATCAGCATCAGCATCAGCATCATCATCATCATCATCATCATCATCATCATCATCATGATCATCGTCAGCATCACTACCATCGTCATCAGCGTCCTCATCATCACAAGCATCAACAACTCATCCCCATCATCATCAGCATGAGCATGGTCAACAGCATCATCATCATCATCATCATCATCATCATCATCATCGTCCTCCTCCTCCTCATCACCAGCATCACCATCATCATCATCATTGCAGCAGCAGCTTCAAAATCATCGCCATCATCATCATCAGCATCAGCATCATCATCCTCATCATCTTCTTCATCATCATGATCATCATCATCATCATCATCATCATCATCATCATCATCATCATCATCATCATCATCATGGTCATCATCATCATCATCATCATCATCATCATCATCATCATAGTCGTCATCAGCATCATGATCATCATCACCCCATCCCCATCATCATCGTCATCAGCATCATAATCATGCGCGTAAGCAGCATGATTTCCATCCTTATCATGGTCAGGAGCATCATCATCACCATCGTCATTATCATCACCATCCTCACAATAGTCCTCATCAGCATCAGCAGCATCGTCGTCGTCGTTGTAATCATCATCGTACTCATCATCATCACCATCATCATCATCATCATCATCATCATCATCATCATCATCATCATCGTCATCGTCATCGTCATCGTCATCATCATCAGCAGAATCACCATCATCATCATCATAATCATCATCGTCGTCGCCATCGTCATCGCCGTCATCATCATCAGCATGGTCATTATCGTCAGCATCATCGCCAGCGTCATCATCAGTGTCATCAGCACCATCGTCATCGTAATCGGCATCATCACCATCATTATCAGCATCGTCATCATCAGCAACAGCAGCATCATCATCGTCGTCTAAATCGGCATCGTCGTCACTAGCAGCATCATTCTCATCATTACCTGCATCATCGTCATCAGCAGCAGCATCAGCATCATCATCATCATCAGAATCAGTATCATCATTGCCATCATCAGCATCAACATCATCAGTAGCAGCATCATCAGAATCAGCAAGAGCATCAGCATCGGCATCAACATCAGCATCAGCATCATCATCCTCATCAGCATCATCAGAATCATCATCATCATCAGCCACAGCATCATGAGATTCACCATCATCATCAGCATCATCAGCACCATCATCCTCAGCATAGAGCAGGACCATCGTCGTGGTCATCATCACCAGTATCATCATCATAATCAGCAGCAGCATCAGCATCATATCATCATCATCGTCGTCACCATCCTCGTCCTCATCACCATCATCATCATCAGCATCATCATCACAACCATCGTCGTTTATAACATCATCAACGTGTTCAGCAGCACCACATGCATCATAATCAACATAATCATCATCAGCAGAATCACAAGCATCATCATCCTGCTCGTCATCCTCATCAGCAGCAACAGCATCATCAGCATCATCAGCATCCTCATCATCATCTACATCATCCTCATCATCGTCAACATCATCATCACCACGATTATCAATATAATCATCATCATCGTCATCATCCGCGTCATGATCATCAGCAGCAGCATTGTCATTGTCGTCAGCAGTGTCACTGTCATTGTCCGTCATTTTCATCAGCATCCAAATCAGCATTCTCATTGTCGACCAGGCACACAGGTAACATCATCAGCATCACAATATAAATCATCATGGCCATTGCCATAGCCATCATCATCGTCACATCTGACATGTAACATCAACATCGTCATCATAAGCATAACAATTACCATCACCAACATGATCCTCACCATCGTCCTCACAATGATCTCCCCCACCACCACCAGAATCACCTTCAGCGCCATCATCATCAGCAGCGGCAGCAGCAGTAACAGTTCATCAGCATCAGCATCACCATCATCATCATCATCATCATCATCATCATCATCATCATCATCATCATCATCCTAATCCTCATCCTCCTCCTCGTCATCATCAACAACACGGGTGGTGGACGACAAGAAGGACCGTTTAATCTCCCGATCGCCCCGACCCACGCCCCTCTCGGCTGCAAGCCGCACGGCCGCCCAACCACTCCGCTCCACCGCGCGGGCCTCTCCTGCGACCTGGTGTACATGGCCAGTCCGTCCATCTTGATGACGAGGGAGTCGTAGTAGAATTGCGCGGAGGCGTTGCCCCGGCACACGCGGAAGTGCACGTGCGGGTAGCTGAGGTACGGACGGATCCAGTACGTGGACGGGCTCCGCACCTGTGATGGAGGCCGGGAGGGGAGAGGAGGGCAGGCTGCTTAGCGCCTGGAACTGCCTTCCTAGAAGTACAGAAAAACTGCACAAGCGTAAACTTTCGCAGGTCCACGAGAACCTGCGAAAGTTGATTCTTATGCCGTCCGTCCGCCGCCCTGGCCTCCCTGGAATCCTTGGACTCCCCTCCCTCTGCGCCCTGGACTCCCTGGACCCCGCGGACTCCCCAACAAGAAGCTCCCTGGACTTCTGGGGCTCCCTTGAGCCCAAGGACTTCCTGGAGTCCCTGGACACCCTGGCCTCCCTGGACACCCTGGCCTCCCTGGACCCTGTGGCCCCCCTGGACCCCCGAGTGCGGGATCGTCCTGGCCCGCGCGGGCGGGGGGCGGGGCCGGCAGGAATCGCACGGCGGGCTCCATATGTCCGCCAGCCCCCTCGTGGCAGGAGGGGGGCGACGGGGAGGAGCAGGAGAAGGAGAGGGGAGAAGGAGGAGGAGGGAGGAGGAGGAGGGCGAGGACAAGGGAGGAGGAGGAGGAGGAGGAGGAGGAGGAGGAGGAGGAGGAGGAGGAGGAGGAGGAGGAGGAGTTTTCCCCCGCCACAGACGCACCCAAGCTCCGTGTGTCAATGGTCCTTGGAGGCGCGCCAGCCGCCCGCGGGCACACGCCCCTTGTTGGGGAGAGGAGGGGCAGCGAGGCAAAGGGCAGGAGCAGAACGAGAGGGGGAGGCCGCAGAGAGAAGCAAGAAGGGGAGGAGGACGAGGTGGAGGAGGAGGAGGAGGAGGAGGAGGAGGAGGGGGAGGAGGAGAAGGAGGAGGAGGAGGAGGGCACTCTGGGGAAACAACCGGTGCATCCCTGGCGCGCGAGCGCCAAAGAACGCAACAACAACAAACAAAACGTCCCGCGAGAGGCCCGCGGCCGAACCCCGCGCCGGGCGAAGAGCCCAGCAGGGGCCCGCGGAGGCGTGCCCTGCGCGGCACCGGGCGGACGGAGAGTTCGGCTTCCAGGCGGGCTCCCCTCCCCAAAGCCGGCGGCGAGCGAGGGGCAGCGCTGGGCGGCGGCGAGCGAGGGGGGGCACGGGCTCCAGGCTCCAGAGGTTTTCGGTCGTGTTCGTCGGTCCTCGGCGGCTTTCCAGCCTCGGGTAGGGGACCACATGCGAACCCTACCCCTACCCCCCACGACTTCTGAAGGGGAGGGTGGGGTTCGCTTCGCTCGGGAGGTCCCGAGCGAGGTGAACCCCGCCCTCCCCCTCGGAAGTCGTGGGGGGCAGGGGTAGGGTTCGCATGTGGCCCCCCATCGGGGTGCACTCTGGCAGCTGCGCCTCGCCGAGGGCGTCCCTGGGGTGCAGGGATCGTCCCGAGCGGCCGCTGGAGACCCGAGCAGTGGCCCGAAAACCCAGCTCGCCGGCGCGCTGAGGGGCATGTGAGGAGAAGGCCTGCTCGGAAGGCGGCAGCAGATGCTCTCGCGCCTGCTGAGCGGCTTCCTGCGTCTGCGGGGAAAGCTTAGAAAACTTCTCAGAAGGCTGGGAAGGCTTCCGAGCCTTCTGAGAAGGCCCGCCCCTTCTCGTTTCCCCTCCTGGCTCGCCCGCCCGATGCAGGAAAAAACTGCGCCAGCGTGACCTCATCGTCCAGCTTGGCTGCCTCAGCTTGCTCGGCATTCAAGACAGGCTGGAAGCGAGCACCTCATCCCAGTGATGCCGGGAACATCTGTGGATAGGGCTGGACTCCCGGACCAACTGCGAACGCCAGGGGGCAACGGATGAGCCCCTGCTCTCGTCGAGCAGGCAAGAGATCCCTGGAGATCCTCGCAGGTCCCTCGAGGTCTCTGGAGACATCCAGAGGCAAGACCACAGAAGGACGTCCGGGCCCTCGATCCTCCTCCTCCGACGACGACGACGACGATGACGACGACGACGACGACGACGACGACGACGCCGCCGACGACGACGACGACGCCGCCGCCGCCGACGCCGACGCCGACGCCGACACCGACGACGCCGACGCCGCCCTGCTGGCCGCCGAGGGCCGCCGAGAGGCCGCCGAGACTGCCCGCAGGGTCGCCACCAGAGGGCCCGGCGGTGGCGGCGACGGCGACGAGCGCTAGGTCGGGCCTGTCCCCCTACAGGGGGATTCTGGACGAAAGAGAAGAAATAGTCAAGAAATGCTCCAAAGCTGCCCAAAAATACTCAAAACATGGTCCCCAGACTATGCTTTGACTGTTTTTGAAGATTCCCCCTGCAAAGGAACAGGCCCGACTTGAGGCGAGCGCGCGCACCCGCACGACCGCCGCGCCAGACGCGTCCACGCGCACGTTGCCGCCGTTGAAGCCCTCGGACCAGTACTTGGGGTACGCCGTGCCTGTCTCGCGGGCGGCGCGGGGGTGCCACTCGGGCGGCCCAGGAGACGGGGCGGCGACAGGCTGCCCCGCCGACCTCGAAGTCCCCGGACGTGATCGATCCACGAACCCGGAGAGGGACTCAGAGCTGCGATTCGCAGAAAGCATCTATACACCACCACCGTGCCAGGTCAGGGCCATCCTGGGCCCTAGGATGATGTATACGCCCTCCTGGCCGAGCCAAGAGGGTCTATACACCATCCTACGGCCCAGGATGGCCCTGGTCTGGCACGGTGGTGGTGTATAGATATCTTCGTTGGACATGCGAGGCATGGGAACGTCTCCAAGCACCTGAATTGGGCGATGGGCAGTGGCAATGCTGAAGACATCAATGGTGCTGATCATGGGACGCACCGAGCGATGTGCCAGGGGGACGCGCCACGGGACGCGCCACGGAACGTGCCGGGGGGACGCACCACGGAACGTGCCAGCGGACGTGCCAAAGGACCGCGCGACGTGCCCAGGGGACGCGCCACGGAACGTGCCAGGGAACGTGGCCGAGGGCCACGATCCCTAGAAAATTACGCTGCACCATCCTCGGGTGGGCACATGCAAAAACAACTGCGTTTCATGTTCTATCAAATTCCACTGCCTCCAGACCCCATGATTTGCCGAGGATTATGAGAAAACGGTATGTTCCTTACCCTCTTTTTGCTCACGAAGAAAAACGGGGTCTGCGGACCCCGTTATTTACAAAGGATCCGAGATGGGGGGGTGCACTCTCCTCAAGTGGGCACGCGCGAAGCGCATTGCTTCTACACCAAGTGGGACTGAGTTTTGCCGTTCTATCGAGTGGACATGCGCCGACCCTGCGCAAGCTGAGGTCCGGGGCCAGATCACCATCCCAAAAGAGAACCCTGGCCAGGGCGACGCCCTTCCCAGGAGGACACGAGCCCCCAGTGTCGTGGGGCTGTTCGCGACGTGGACCGCTGGAGGCAGCGACCCTTCGCCGGGACCGTTTCACTTGCAGACCCTGAGCCGGTCCTCACTCGCCCGGGGCTCGATCTGAACCCTTGAGAGGCCGAGCGCTCCATGGAGCCGCCCGCCGTGCCTTGTTCACGGCGCGAGGGGGTAACTCAAGGGGCCCAGGGACGCGCAAGCCTTTTTCGCCAGCGGCGAGACAGAGAAGATGCTCCAGCGGGTGGCGATTCGGGGCGACCGAAAGGCGAGTTGGCCGGCGTGCAGAGACGCACAAACAAGTAGACAATTCCCTGCGTTCCCCATATTTCCCCGAATTTTCTCGGTGTTCGTCTTCCCCCCCACTTCCCATATGTTCCCATATTTTCCTGGGAGTCGACGATTCATTGCGCCTTTGTTTCCCCCCCCGTGAGAAACGCAGGGCTACTTCTTGACGACTCCAGCGTTGGGCTCTGACACCGCGAGGATCGTCCACCCTTCAACGATCGGATGCGTTTCGCTCGCCAGATCGCCCCACATTGGCCGATGATAGGCCACCGCCAGCGTTCCACCGTGAACGCCCTGGGTCGCAGCCACGACGACACGACACGAACCTACCGCACCATGGGAACGTTCATACGAGGGCACCTCGGCGCGCAGCAGTGTGCAGGCTGCTGCTGGTCCAAACATCGGCCAACGAGGTGGCCGGGACATCGCTGCCCCGGAGCCCCCGGGGCGGCTCGACACACCGGGGGAGCGTGCACAAGAGCACCTCGGCGCGCAGCAACGTTGGGGCGCCGACATCTACACGTATCCGCTGCTCCCTGGCCGTGCCCATCCTCAGCCCAGCAGCGGTGCATATGCGCCACGCCCTCCTGGCTTGGCCAGGAGGGCGTGTGCACAACTCCTGGGCCCAGGAAGGGCCCGGCCAGGGGGGGTGGCGAAGAAGAGGAACAGGTACGAAGTCGAGCGAGGAGAAGGAGGAGGAGGAGGAGGAGGAGGAGGAGATGGAGGGAGGAGGAGATGGAGAAGGAGGAGGAGATGGAGGAGGAGGAGAAAGAGGAGGAGGAGGAGGAGGAGGGGAGGAGGAGGAGGAGGAGGAGGAGGTGAGTTGGAGGAGGAGGGCGGGGTAAGGGAGGGGGAGGAGGAGGAGGAGGAGGAGGAGGAGGAGGAGGAGGAGGAGGACGAGGAGGAGGAGGTTTCGTCGCCCGAACGGTGTGCAGGCTGCCGCGGTGGCGCCCGGACGCACGTCGGCCGACGGCGCGTGCCGGACGGCGCTGGCGCCCCGAGCCTCCGGGGCCTCGGCGCCAGCGGCCCGAAGGGGGGCGGGCGCCCCTCCCGGGGGCCCTCCGCGAGGGGGGGGGCCTCCGCGGGCGCCCCCCCGGAGGAGGGCCTTCTTCGCGCGCGCCCCGCGGAGGGGGGCCGCGGCGGGCGCCCCGCGGAAGGGGGCCGCCGGCGGGCGCCCGCGCGGAGGGCCCCGGGCGGGCGCCCGCCGGGAGAGGGCCGGAGAGGGCGCGCCTCCTCGGGAGCAGCTCGCAGGAGCTCGCGGGAGCACCGGGAGGAGGCCCCGGGCGCCTCGGAGGGGGAGGCGCACCGCGCACCCCGGAGAGAGCACCTGGGGGCCCTGGAAGGAGTCGGGGGGAAAGCTTGGCGCTCGACACCAGCTTGCGCTGCGGAAGGAGCCCCACAGGAGCCCTGGGAAGTGGCCATGGGAGAAGTGGCCCTCAACAGGTTCGCAATCCATTTGCTGCGGGACCGGCATAGGACTGTGCTTGCGTTGATATCGGATTGTTCCAGGTGCGCCACCCGTGTGCACGAGCATGGCTGGAATACTGCCAAGTGCTGTGATTTGGTTGATTGGCTAGCTGAGCTCAGCTCAGTCCCGTGTGGTCTTTCTGCCGCTAGTATGATACCCCGCTCATGCCTCCTTGGCGTGCGACTGCATCCTCCCACATGGACGTTCACGCATTCCCCCACCCATGATTGCTGATTGCGCTTTCTCCTCCTCCTCCTCCTCCTCCTCCTCCTCCTCCTTCTCCTCCTCCTCCTCCTCCTCCTCCTCCTCCTGCTGCTGGGAACCTTCATTATTATCAAATGACTTGGGCCTGTTGCCCAGGTTTTCGCGGACCTCGCCCCGATCGCTGGCATCCTAGCGCGGGACCCCCTCTTTGTAGAGGGGGCCAGGGACACATAAAGAGATAGACACAGATCCCAGGATTCCCTATATTTCCTCATATTCTCTGGCTTTTTCGTCTTCCCCCCACTACAAATATTTTCCCATATTTCCTGGGAGTCGACGATTAATTGTGTCTGTGTGTTTTCCCCTCCTGACTTCGTGCAACGAGCGAGACGCTGGTGCAGGCTCATGCGGCGAAGCGCGCGCGCGCGCGCGCCTCTGCCCGTCCGCAGCCTCCAACATGATCGATCCACGAACCCAGAAAGGGATTCAGAACTGCGAGGCATGGGAACGGTTCCAAGCACCTCGATTGGGCGATGGGCAGTGGCAAGATTGAAGATATCAATGGTGATGATACTGTGCCAGGGGCTGTGTTGTGCTCCTCTGCGCTGTGCCGCGCCGCACAGTGAAGTGCCAGAGGGCGCGCCGAGCGACGTGCCGTGGGGACGCGCCACGAGACGCGCCACTGAACGTGCCAGCGGACGTGCCAGGGTGTGACGCGCCCCGCGACGTGCCCAGGGGACGCGCCACGGAACGTGCCAGGGAATGTGCCCGAGGGCCAGAATCCCCGTAAAATGCGCTGCGTCCGCGCTCCCAGGGCAGAGATCCATCGCAGATGACGCTGGACTGGGCGCTCCCAGGGCCGCGTCCCCTCGCAAGTTCACGCCGGAGTAGCGCTCCCAGGACCACGACCCCCTTGTTCAGTAATTGCCCTTGCGCACTCCCGAGGCCACGCCCCCCGATAAATTACGCTGCGCCCGCACTCCCAGGGCCAGGATCTCCGGTAAATTACGCTCCGCCCGCCCCCTCGTCAATTACGCTCCGCCCGCCCCCTCGTCAATTACGCTCCACCCGCCCCCTCGTCAATTTACGATCCCTCGCAAATTGCACGAAGTCCCTCGTCAGTTACGCTGCGTCCGATCTCCCAGGGCCAGGATCCCCTCGTGAGTTCTGCTGTGCCCGCGCCCCCAGGGCCAGGATCCCCTGAAAATGACACGCTGCCCGACCCCCCCCCCACCCCCAGGGCCACGATGATGACGCTGCCTCCGCGCTCCCAGGGCCAGGATCCCTTGTGATGTTGCGGCGTCCGCGCTCCCATGGCCACGATCCGAGGTAAACAACGGTGCTTCCGCACTCCCAGAGCCACCTGGGCACCCTGGGGCGCCGAACCCTCCCTCGAGTGCCGCAAAACGTGCACTCGCTCAAGACATCCCCGGGGATTCTGCGCGCAGGACGTGCCACCCTCGAGCGGGCACAGACGAAATCAACTTGTTCAAATTTTCTGGTCAATTGCCATGCCTCCAGATCCCGTTATTGTCGAGAATTCTGCGCAAAACACTCCGCACCCTTTGTTGTTATGGAAAACAGTGGTCCCTGGACCCTCTTATTTATCAAGGATCCGAGATGGGGTGCGCACTTTCCTCGAGCGTGCACGCGAGTCTACACAACACGGGAATGTACGCAGTTGCTTGTTATGGAGCTGAAATTCGCTGGCCCTGCGAAAATTGAGGCAGATTACCATCCTAAAAGAGAACCCAGGGCTCAGGTCCCATCTGGGAAACATGATAGACCCACGAACCTGTTCTGCGCCGCATTGAAATGACATGTGTCATGACGCGATGGATTGCGTTGTGCTCTATAGCGCTGTGGACCAAGTCACCCAAGGCATCCGAATCCTGACCGAACTGATCTGGATATGATCTTACCCTGGAGCTGCCTGAGCGCACAGCTGGCCCAAATCTAGTTGCAGCAGAAACGTGTGGGACGCTCAGTCAGCTCGAGCTCAAGATCCGACTCGGTTCCGAAGCGGGACGAGACGACACGGGGCGCAGGGCGCATGGACGCGCCACGGAATCTGCCAGGGGCGCACTGGGAGATGCGCCAGGGGGCGTGTCAGGGGACGTGGGAACGGACGCGCTGCGGAGCTGGCAGGGAGAGCGACACGGGACAAGCCAGGGAATGCGGCAAGAGCACGAGCCAGAGAACGCTCCGCGGGGGGAGGGGCACACGCCGTCCCGCTCCGGGGCGTTAGAAACCCAGCTGTGTTCACGCTTGTCCCGCTCTGGAACGTCAAGAACCCACGTGGCTTCACGCTTGGCCAGCTCTGGGACGTCAGGAGCCCATGTGGTTCCACGCTCGTCCTGCCCAGGGGGCGTCAGACACCCACATGTTGTCACGCTTGTCCCGCTCGGGGGCACCAGGAGAACGTGTGTTGTCACGTTGGTCCCGCTCTGGGGCGCTGGGAGCCCAGATGTCGTGTCGCTCGTCCCGCTCCGGGGCGATACGAGCGCACGTGTTGTCGCGCTTGTCCTGCTCTGGAGCACTGGGAACCAAGGTGGTTTCACGCTTGTCCCGCTCTGGGGCGTTGGGAACCAACGTGTTTTCCCGCGTGTCTCGCTCTAGTGCATTCGGAACCACCTGTTTTCACGCTTATCCAGCTCTGGGGCGCTAGGAGCCAACGTGGTTTCACGCTTGTCCTGCTCTGCGGCAACAGGAACCCACGTGTTTCCCACGCTTGTCCCGTTCTGGGGTGTTATCTCGCTTGTCCCGCTTTGGGGCGTTAGGAACTATGGTGTTTTCACGCTTTTTCCGCTCTGGGACATTGGGAACCCACACAGATTCACGCTTGTCCAGCCTCAAGGCGTTAGGCACCCACATTCTCACGCTTTTTCCGCTCTGGGACACTAGGAGCCCATGTGTTTTCACGCTTATCCCGCTCCGAGGCGTTAGGCGTGGACGTGTTTGCACGCTTGTCCCGCTCTGGGGCATTAGAAACCCACGTGAGTTCACGCCTGTCTCGCTCCGGGGCGTTGGGAACCCACGTGTTCTCACGCTTGTCCCGCCCTGGGGCGTTAGGAACCCATGTATTCTCACGCTTGTCCCGCTCTGGGGCGTTAGAAACCAACATGTTGTTACGCTTGTCCCGCTCTGGGGCAATAGGAACCCACGTGTTTTCACGCTTATCCCACTCTGGGGCGGTAGGAACCCACGTGTTTCAACGCTTGTCCCTCTCTGGGGCGAAAGGAACCCAAGTGTTTGCACGCGTTCAGGCCATTCAGGGGGGGGATATTTAGCACGCGGTCGGCTGGGCCAACAGAGTCAGGTGGGGCACAATGGCAGGAACAAATCAATGAATCCGCACCAGAGGCGTGATGACAGGAATCGTTCTGATGGGGGCCTCCTGGGAGTTCCTGGGACGCCTCCTGGGGCCTCCGAGAACCATGTATGTATTTTCGCGCGTGTCCCGCTCTGGGGCGTGAGGCGTCCACGTGCTGTCACGCTTGTCCCGCTCTGGGGCGTTAGGAACCCATGTGATTTCACGCTTGTCCCGCCCTGGGGCGTTAAGCACCTAAGTGTTTTCACGCTTGTCCCGCCCTGGCCTGGGGCTTTAAGCGTCCACATGTTTCCACGCTTGTCCCGCTCTGAGGCGAAAGGAACCCACGTGTTTTCACACTTGTTCCGCTGTGGGGCATTAGGAACCCATGTGTTTTGACGCTTGCCCCCCTTTGGGGCGTTAGGAACCATGTGTTTTCACGCTTGTTCCGCTCTGGGGCGTTAGGAACCGAAGTGTTTTTTCGCTTGTCCCGTTCTGGGGCGTTCGGAACCGAGGTGTTTTAACGTTTGTCCCGCCCTGAGGCGTTAGGAGCCCACGTGTTTCCACGCGCCTGCGCATTCCCAAAACCATCTCGGCATTTTGGAGCGCCGAAGCCCCTCAAGTTTTGAGAAACCTGCGCGCAGGACACGCCATTCTCGGGCAGACGCGCAAAAAGCTCACACTTGTGAATTTTCTACAATATTATAAGGGCCCAGACGTCGTTATTTATCGTGTATTATGCGCAGCACGCTTTGCAGCCTCTATTGAGCGAAAGAAAACAGGGGGTCTGTGGACCCCCGTTATTTATCGAGGATCCGAGATGAGGGGCACACTTTCCTCGAGCAGGCCCGCGCGAAACGCACCTTTATAAAACAAAATTGGACTTCACCTTGTTTTCTCTCGAGCGGAAATCTGCTGGCCCTACGCAAACTTGGCACCGGGGGCAGTGGAACACTGCAAGAAGAACCCTGGGCTCAGGCCCTGTCAGGGAAATCCCTGCAGAACTCTGACATCGGACTTCGGACATCGGCCTGCATCATGCACCGCGTGGGTGCCGCAGGGTCCCACCCTCTCCTTGGGGCCCCAAACGAAAGGATCTCGCTCAGGGGCCTCCGACACGAGAGGACCTCTGCGCATCACGCAGCTACATAGGGTTGGGCTCCTCGCCATACTGAGTTTGCTTCCAACCCATGACGCCCAATGCCGTCCCCCGAGACCGCTGGCGCCACGGGGGGGGACGTCCCCGGCTTCCCGGCCCAGGGGGGCGCGCCCATCTCTTCGTAGACGGCGCTGCCGACGGGCCCAGAGAGCGGATCGTAGTCGTACGCGCTCTTGTACGTCGCCCACCTGGGGGGGGTCAAAGGCGGCCATGTTCCTCTCTCCTCCTCCTCCTCCTCCTCTTCCTCCTCCTCCTCTTCCTCCTCCTCCTCCTCCTCCTCCTCCTCCTCCTCCTCTTCCTCCTCCTCCGCCTCCGCCTCCGCAGCCTCCTCCTCCTCCTCCTCCTGCCTCCCTCCCTGCCTCCCTCCCTGCCTCAGCCGCCGTCCCGGTTCGAGGCTTTGGGTGCAGCGCCCTGGTAACCGGTACCACGCGCTGCGAGCCTCCTCGGGACACGGCGGTCAGACGCGCCAGCCCGCGCTGTGGATTGCCATGAGCGTGTGGGCCAGCCGTGCTGCTGACGGGGCGTGCGCCGCCCCGTGACGGGCGCCCACGGCGCGCGAGCCAGCCTGGCACAGGCGAGCTCGCGAGCGGCGCACGCAGTCACACATCCTGCTGCGTGCGGCCGCCGCCGCAGCTACGGTGCGAGAACATCACAGCTCAGGACCCATGGGAGGAGGTGGCAAAGGCGGAGCTGGGCCATCAGGCGGACACAAAGGGGGTAAAGGTCGTGCCGCAGGAGCGAGCGCGCCGTGGCGTGTGCCGCCGCCTCCGCCAGGCTGGTGGTGTCAGACGTGTGGCAGCTTGAATGGCCCTGCGGACATGTTGTGCCGTACGTGCATGCCCCTCCCCCACAGCCTGCCCAGCCACAACGACAACGACGGCAGCGGCGACTCGAACCACCGGCGCCAGGACAGCAAGCACAGAGATGCTCGCCCGCGCTCAGGCTCTCGTCGCAGACGCCGCCGCCAGTCTAGTGTGTCGAGGCCCCGTTCAGGATCCCGCGTGAGGTTCGCAGAAGACGAGGAGTCCGACGGAGGCCAGGCTTCAGAGGCGGAGGAGTTGCGCAGCCCTGCGCTTGGCATCCTGCCAGCGCTCCCACAGGATGGACAGCTGCATCCAGCGTGGGTCGAGCCGCCCAGAGACGAGAAGGAGCTCGCTGCCCACAGGCGGTCGCTAAGACAGATGGCGGCGGCCACTGGTAAGCGACTGCAGGCGGCCAAGGAGCTCGGCATGACGAAGGAGCAGATGCAGCCCCTGGAAGAGGAGTACGCAGTTCAACTATGCATGATCATCACAGCTCGAGCCCCTGGTGTGAGATGCGATCGACAACGAGCGTTCGTGCAACGTGCCCAGGTGAAGCTCGACAAGGCCCATGCTGCAGCTGACCTAGCCCGAGCCAGTCTGGAGGAGAAGGAGGCTAAGGTGCTGCAGCGGGAGCAGGCGCTCAGTCGAGCCAAGACGTTGCTAGACCAGCTCGAGGCCATGAGACCAGAGACGGACGTGGACGTGAACATGGAGCCTGCAGCAGCTGCGCCTGCGCCGCCAGCGACAGGCGCAGCCTCTGGCACGCCTCCAGACCAGGCGCCGACTGCAGCCGCCATCGCGGAGCCGCAGGCAGCGCGGGCCCAGCTGACCATGCAGCCGACGTCGCTCGCGCAGCTGCCGACGACGCTCCGGGCGAGCACGAGCACCGCACGAGCGCCGCACGAGCCCCGGTGCAGGGATGGAGGCTGCCACGGGCGCGTGGCGCCGCTCTCGGGGCCGCCGCAGCGGCTGGCCCCCCGCGGCTCCGCCCGCGGCCGCGCCCTCGGCGCCGCCGCGCGCCGAGCCGCCTGGGCCTGCGGCCGCCGCCCCTGGCGCGAGAGGCGCCGCGCGCCGACCCGCCCGCCGCCTGGGCCCGCGGAGGCTGCGGCGCGCGCCGCCCGAAGCCGCCGCCCGTGCGGCCGCGGGCCAGGCGCGGCCGCAGCAGCCGTCGGCTCCCCAGTCGATGGCGGCTCGCGGCCAGCGTCCAGCCGGGCAGGCCTCGCCCGAGGAGCCGAGGGCCCGCGCGGCGGCGGCACGGAAGGGCCGAGCGTGCAGCAGGTCGAGCGCGCAAGCCAGGCGGGCAGCGAGGGCTGCGTGGCGCCATCGCTCGGCAGGAGGCGGCGCCCAGCCATCGTGGTCGAGGCGCTGCCCCGCCGACGCCCGTCGGACGTGCTGAAGTCGCTGCGGAGGCGGGTGAGCAGCACGCGGCTGGACTGGCCAGCCGTCGCCAAGGGCACGGTCGCAGTCACGGCCCGAGGCGGACTGAGGACGGTGTATTTAGTAGTGGACGGTGCAGGCAGCGTATCGGGGGGCGTCGACGCTGGGGTGGTGCGGCCTGGCGGGCAAGCTCTGGCGATTGAGATGCCCGAGGTAGCAGCTCACAGCTTGCCCGCCACTCCTTTTTTCCAACCAGGCCGCCACCATCACAGTCTCATGCAGAGTCTGATCCAGTGCGCCCTCGATGCCCAAGGCATCTCAGTTCGTCCTGGTGTACTGGTCAGGCATCTCCGTCAGCCCTGGCCCCTCAGTTCGTCCATCACCCCACTTGTTCATGGGCCCCAGAGGGAGCCCGAGCGATGCCTTTTTTACCCGTATCTGCACAGCAATACCCGCAGTTTTTTTGAGACCCACGGAGCCCTCCCCCCTGTAAACGACAAAGTTGTAAGACTGGAAGTGTATACAGGTGGGTCCGGAGGGTCGAATTATCCACAGCTGGGCGGACTCCATCTTGGGCATGGTGCATCTTCTCAGTTACGATGACGGGGAGATACATATGTGACGGGTATCTGTGCGGCGTCGACCCTGTGCTGGCTGACGCTGTAACCAGCCCGTCTGGCTCTGCCGAATTTCAAGCTGCTCTATGGCTAGTCGTATGGTTGCTGCAAGCCCCTGAAAGGTTTCGCAATCTCTCAGTCGAAATGTTCACTGATAATCAGTTGGTGGTATCAGCGGCAGCACGGGGTACGCGATGTATGTCATGTGGGGACCTACCGTGGATGTTCGACGGAGCCCTGAAGCTACTACGACAGTTTACGCCACGTACGTGGAAACACGTCATGGGACACAATGCTCATCCGTTGAACGAGCTTGCAGATACTATAGCACGCCTTGCGTCCATGGGCATTGCCCCGACTACTGACGCCGACTTTCAACCGTGGTCAGTATTGCTTGATGCTGCCGCTGATGTACCATGGATTTGGATGTCAGCAGCACAGTCCAACGACGGTCTTAGGGGTTTATCCGAAAGTTGGTGCGTGCGAAATGCCCGACATCTATCCACCTGTCCTGGATCTACGGACTGCCTTTTCGCCACCAGCTGGCCGCGGCTCGAAAAACTCGGGTGTGCCACGAGAATCCCTCACGTCAGGTATGCCGCCTCAGGTCAGCGCTGCAGTGGCGAATGTACTTACACTGCGGCCCCGCAGGAAGGCTGCGAGAGGGCATCGTACCAGGATGCGGTGTCGATATCAGGATACGGCTGGCCTCAATCTGTCTGGCCGCATGCTTGCGCTAGCTCATCAGTTTTCTACACGCCAATATCACATAGTTGGCACCCTAGAGACCAGATTGTGTCGCAGTGGCTGGACACCACCAGGGGATTTCATAGTTCTCACCGCAGCTGCAGAAGCTAGAGGCAAGGATGGAGTGGCTCTTTGGATCAACACGCAGCACGAATATGCGCATGGACGCACGCTGGCACGCAGACATGTACGTGTGATCAGCTGCTCGCCACGGCACATATTAGCAGCAATACGCGCGCCGGGCATGTGCATTGACGTGCTGGTTGGACACGCGCCACACTCACGACGACCGCATGCTGAGATACACAGCTGGTGGAGCAGTATGGTCACTCATGTCAGCAGTCGTTCAGCCAGCACCGCTGTACTGCCTTCTGGATGCCAATGCGACCCTAGGGTCGCAGGTGTCAGAACACGTGGGAGACGTGGCGCCAGAGGTTGAGAATGAAAGCGGGCAATGTTTCCATCAGTTCATGCGGTCCACGGGACAATGTGCAGCGGCTACGTTCCTACCGTCGTTTTCTGGAGTACACGGGACCTGGTTACTCCCCTGGAGCCCAAGGGCAAGATCCTAGGCGCCGAATTGATTACATTGCGGTTCCACTGGGCCAACTGCCAAATGTGACGAAACAAGGGGTGGACATCGACCTTGCCTTGTCGATGAGACGTGACGACCACTTCGTGGTTTCAGCTAACATGTATGTATGCCATACAGAACAGTACGAACCAGCCGTCACTTGGACTAGGTCTCGACATGATGTCACAAAACATGAGGACCCCGACTGTCTACAGAAATTTGAAGCAGAGTTGCGCAGTGTGCCTCAACCCCCCGTTTAAACCCATCCTGACGACCACGCTGAGCATTTAAATGCTCACATCTTGAAAGCGGCTGAGCTCGCCTTCCCGCCCAGGATGCCGGAGATTGGCCGTCAGCCACGCAGCAGTTGGATTTCCCAGGGCTCTCTCAACCTCATGGATCAGCGAATGCACGGACGACGAGCGTTACGGGCCCACTACCCGCTATGCTACTGGCGTGCGTTTGTGGCGTGGGCGTCGGACGGTGCTTCAGAGGGGGAGTGGTTTTGCTTGCGCACGCTATGATGGCGATTTGCGAATCGGGACGGGCCCTCACACCATGCCCTCCTACAGAGCTGCCGCCATGTCGCTAGGTGCGTGATGCTACCAAGGCCTTTACAATGCCACTAGAGACTCCGCAAGGTAGGCTCACACAACCCCCCTTCACACAAGACCACATCGCAGGACCGCGATACCTAGGACGTATGCCGACAGCATTCGAGCTGGAAATGGTGCGTCGTTTCTACTACGCTTGGCTTGGTTTTTTGTTCGGCAACTAGCTGCGTGTTTCTCAGAGCAGCCACGTACGTCATACAACAGTCTACCGGACAGGACTCATCATGACATTGCGCTAACATAGCAAATGGGGTTCGCTCGGCCTGGGACCGCCGTCAGTTTGCAGAGGCGCACGCAGCCTTGCAACGCGTACCGCCATTGCAGGATCTGACAGGACAGGCAGTGGTATCTGAGCAGCAGGTAGCACGAAGATGGCAGCAGCATTTTGCAGGATTGGAGCTGGCAGCCACCGTACCCGTCAGTGACGTACCCATGTTCGCCGGTTACTTTGGACGC